CTGGGGCCAATCTAGTGATGGAGGTGATGTCCAGCAGGGTTTGATCCTGACCCATGGAGATCTGGCTGGTTGGTTCTGATGAAAGTGAAGAGCTGCTTGATGTGTCGCTGGAAGAGCTTGACGTAGCGAATGGGGGTATTTTCTGAGCATTATGGTCACTCCTGTTCCTCTGCGGGCTAGTGACACTTAGAGCTGGGTGTTGTGAAGCCCTAAAGAAAGACAAACACACACTTTTTCCTCTGGTCTGGGCTAAAGGCTCATAAGACAGTTTTAGGCCTATTTGGGGGCAATTTTAAGCCTGTTTCCCATAACTGCATTTACCCATAGGCTGATTTGCCTCTCAGGTCTGTATAAAACCCTCTGCTTCTCATGACTAAGAGCAAAGTGTTTGAGCATAAGGCACATAAATTCAGGACCAGTTTCTCCCTGGTGCCCACTGAGCCCTTGTCAGCTATCATCAGTGTGATAATCACTGGAACATCCACATTCTGCTTCCCAAAAGTCACACAGCTCCACGAGAACCAAGGATTTGGGGCTGGGGAAGGACAGGAAGGAAAGAAAACTACTGACATATCGACTGGGAGAACACAAAAGGCTAAAACACGGCTTGCAGGCTGCCACAGCACCTGGCCTTGGCCATCCCTGCCTTCCTGCCATGGACCCACAGGCTTTAGTCTCCTGGGAGCTCTGCGTGGTACCCAGTGAATTAATGGATGGATAAACAGGCAAGGGAGAAAGAGGAGGGCAGCACAGAATGGTGTCACTGTTCCTGTGGAGACATAAGACATTTCTTGATGTGTTAAGCAATTTTCTTCCTCCCCACTAAGCTGTCAACTGTGTCCAGGGCTGACCAGCTGGTTTAGGTGGCTGGAAATGACAACTGCGTGGGATGCCAGACCACCCCTCCTGGGTATTGTTCGCTGTACTCTTCTCCTGGCTGCTTCCAGACAGGAGACATCCCAAGGCCTTTTTTTTCTCCTTTATTTCCTCTGGCTACATTTTTCTTAGTTTGTCAGTTTGGATGGCAAGAGAGGAAGATGGACCCCTGTGGCCTGGAACTGTCCTGACAGGTAGAGGATGCAGCCAGAAATGCCTTGACCTTGAAGGGGAGCACAAAGACACCCACTGTGCAGATCATGACCCGGGATTTCCAGCAGCCAAAGGACATGACAAACTTTTGTAGTGATGCCAGTGACCAGCTGAGTCTTCTTGTGCATCTGGTATATTCCTGTTTCTCTTGGGGTGGAAGACAGCAGAAAACCCTGGTCTGGATGGGATAGATGAGATCCAAAGCATGAAGTCCTGTCCTGTCAGCACCTGTGGCCTGAATTAGCTGCACAGTCACTTCTCACCTCCCTGCACCTTTCTCAGGGCTTGATGCAATTAAACACCAAATTTTAAGGTCCTAAAGAGCTTGTTTCACACCTCTGGGCTTCAATAGGGTTAATGGGCTAAGTCACAGCTTAATTATCAGGTTTAAATCAAATTTAGAGCTTTTATAATTGGAAAAGCAGGAAGTAACAGAGCCACTGCATAAAAACAAAGCCAAGAAAGAATCAGAAAATGAGTTCTGTAAAGGGCAGGAGGAAAAACAAGTGCAAGTGTCAGAGGCTGCACCTGTCCCTGGGAGTGCCTTGTCTTTATCAAGTGGCTGAACAGGGCTGGAAGGCCAGGATTGCCAACTGGATATGAGGAAGAGCTTTTTCACCTGCAGTGTGAAACACTGGGACAGAGGCCAAGAGATGTATTGGGATCTCAATGCTTGGAAGTGTTCAAAACTCAACTGGGCAAGGAAAGAAGCAGCCTGATCCAGCCTGGACATGCTGGGAGCACGGGACTGGACTAGAGCCCTTTTGGGGACCCTGCCCTCACTGTGTCAGTCTGTTCTGCCTAACTATGAAAACACAAGATTTCCCCCACAATTTCCCTTCCTTCTTTCACTTTTCTCCCCTCTGAGTCCCATCTCACCATCCTCTTCCACTGGAGCCTCTGGGCTGCCCCATTCCATACTGACTTTATAAGGCCTGTTGCAGGAGCATCTCTTTATAAATAAAAGGATTTTTAAAGGAAAAACGGTGTTATTTGGCTCAGAGGAATTGCTGCCCCTTCCTTGCATAATAAGGGGGAATCAGAAGCTCAGGCTTTGGAAGAGCAGGCAGTGGGACTGAGGGCAGCCTGGAGCTGGACATCTGTGCTGTGTCGCCTTTGGAAACTCAGCTGCTGCTCCTCAGTCCCTCCTGAAAGCAGGGAATGATGGGATTGTGTCGGGTCATGCTGTGTGGTGTTCAGAAAGTTGGGATTTGGCTGCTCTAGGACCAAAGGAGTGGAAAGACTGTTTTCCTGGCAGAAGCAACACAAAATTACTGGTTATTTAAATCAGAGCTGAATCTTGGGCATTCACTACAAAATCCCATATTCAGGAAAACCTATTTTGCTGTAGCAAAGTACAGGAATTTTATTCTGACAAGAGCAAACCCCATTTTAAGGCAACTAAAATAAAAATATATGTTGTAACTTTTTGTTTGTTTGTTTGTTTAAAATACACGTATTTGTCCTCAAACATCTCACAATGCAAAACTACCTGAACATGAACTGAGCAACAATTCCTGGCTGCATTCTGAGGGGGAAATATAATATGCACAGTAAAGAGAAAGGCTATTTGGGTGCATATACAGTCTGAAATACTTCATTGCTCATCTCCAGCAGTGTGGGACAGGTTGACTTTGGGGGGGGGGGGAGCTTGGTTTGGGGAGTTTTTTTGCATAAATCCAGGATTAGCTGTAGGAGATGAAACATTTATTGAAAGATGCAATTCCAAAGAGTGACAGAAAGCACGTTTCATAACTAATCCCACTGAAATTTATATAAGAAACCTTTCCAATTCACCTGTGCACTGGAGGAAACAAAAAAGTATTATAAACTGTCAGCTTATTTTGCTTGCCTTTTCCACCCTTTAATTTTCATGGGCTGCTGTGCTAAACGTGGGACTGAATTTACTTTTTATCAACATGCTTATCTTGGAAAAAGAGGAGCTGGTTGCTTAAGAAGCAATGCTGAAGGAAAACGTCAGTCTGGATGTTGGCAGAGCTAAACGAGGACAGAACTGAGACCTTTAGCTTTGGAATTTCCTGGTGGGCAAGAGTTTGCCTGAAGACAGGAACGAGATTCCCATGGCAGCCAGTGCAGCCAGGCTGGTGGCAGATCCGTAACCACGGTGCTCCATCAGGGGGATTTTTCCCCCACCTGTTTTTTACGAGGCGAATCAAACACGAAGGGAATAAATTACAGGAAGAATTGCAAGTCCTGGGGTTGAAATCAGCGCTGACATCAAAGAGGCAGCGCCTGCAGCTGTCAGGTACCTCCACAAGGAGAAACCTTGGCTCAACTTTGAGCGACACTTCACGCGCGTCAGGCCCTTGTTGTCTGCGCCTCCCAGCCCGGCGCTGCTCAGCATATCAAGCATGTTCCCCGTTGTCACAGTGACCTTGGCTGCCGTCTGTGCCTTGCCCTCTCCAGCTGAGCTTGTGCAACAGACTGAATTTGGAGACATTTGGAACTTGCCTGCACATCCAGCACCACTTTCACCTCCTTCTGTGGCGCTTGCGACCACGGATATAAAAAAAATTAAAAAAAAATCCAACCAGTGGATTTTTATTTTTTTTTTTAATGAATCATTTCCACCATGTTTTAAGTCTGGAGTTCTTCTGGTGAACTTGTCTGAATAGGAAAAAAATTACACTATGCTCCAGAGTGAAGCTCTGAGGGGCTGGTTGCATAAATCTTGCTGTAGACAGTCGGGGTGGGAGGATGGTAGAGGAGCTGTGGGATGGACCCAGGGGAAATGCCTACAGGGTGATGATATGAGAATAAAACTATCTTTTTCAAGGCCTCCTCTTTGTCAGGTGACCCTCCCAAAATGCCCACGCTGCCAAAACAGTGACTATATTATTTTTTTGACACTGAATTAATTCTGAATAATCTTTCACTTTCCTACAAGAGAGGCTGGTGTCCTGAACCCTGGGTTTAACTGCCTCAGATAACACCAAGGCTTTTAGCCACAGACAGGAGGGATATGCTGTTTCCTGCTCAGCTCTTGGCTCCTCTGGGCTCCCTGTCTCTTCTTTGGCTTTGCCACTACACCTATCCCTCCTTGCCCTTTGTGACGTTTCTCCTGCCTCTCTCTTACCTACCCCTTGTTCTACATCCACCATCTGCACCTCTCCTGTCTGCCCTGTGGGTTCCAGGCTCATCCTATTAATGCCTCATGGTGGGACAGCACTGGAGGAGAGGGTGGAAGTGGCATGGACATACAGATGTCTGAAATCAGGTACTACTGCTGTCTGGAGCCTGACAATAGCAAGCAATAAATAACTGTGCAACAACAAAAAAATCCTGATGTGAACTTCCTCCTTCAATCCTTTTTGTGTGGTGACTGCACACAGCTGGAATCATTGAGGTCTCCCAGCCCTGCACATCTGAAGGAAATGGTTGAAACATCAAAATGACAGCAGATAGACTTTAAGAGTGTTTAGGGCTTTGCAGTGGAAATGCTAAATCTGGTGTGAGCAAATCATGACCAAGGATATCAGATGTATAGGGGCCAGTGCCATATGTTTGCACAGGAAGGTGGCTTGGTGAGAGCAGAGGATGCCAAGTTATACCTAGAGCTCCCTGGTGCTGTTCTTATCCCAGCTCAGGCAAGTTTAAACCCTGTTAAAGGCTTTTAAAGGAAATAAAATGGGTTTTTTAACCCTGGTAAAGGAAAATTATAGTTTAGTGGTGGACATTAAATGGCTTAATAAAGAAATATCAAGACTGAATGGTTGTCCTGTTCAAGACTCCCCTGGGATCAAGATTCTGATGACATTTATAATATAAGGTCACTTCTCAAAACAGAAAGCTTTGTCTTGCCAACAGAGGAACCTGATATCCTGCCCTGGCATAAGGCCCTTTATGCTACCTGTGCTCCCACAGTGCTCCTGGGCTGCTCAAAACCTTTAACATTGTCTCTTCCAAAATCAGCTGGCTGTGATGGCATTTGTCTTCTACGGTTGCTCAGTCGTGTTCTCTTCTGTTAAGGTTTTACTCTTTCACTCCTCAGCGACACTCCCCCAAACCCTTGCCTCTCAACAAGGACAGATGCCCTGGTTTGTCTCTGTGGGAGGACAGAAAGAGTCATGATGTCTGAGCACGAGCAAATACTCCTTATCTGCCGTTTGGTTCGAATCAGAGCATCCTCAGGGCACTTCTCAGTGAGGGCAGCTGGCAAGTCCTCCAGGGAATGAAACGCTGGGTGAAGTGAGCAGCAGGAATAACTTCAGGTGGTGCATCCTGGTGTCCTGCTGGCTCGGGATCACCTCTCTGGGAAGTGTTCATGGAGTGCTCAGAGTTATCTGATGGCATTTGCTCTGTTAGTGGCATGTGGGTGGTGATGTGACCAAGCAGTGGTGAGGACTTGGCCTGTTCTGGGTGTCCCCTCCTTCCATCGAAGCAGACCCCAGGCACCCAGGGGAGCCAGTGGAACCTCTGTGGCTGCTCTGCCTTTAGCCAAGTGCTTCTCACATCCTTCTCTTGCTCTTACCAATTCTCTGCTGGCCACGAGCCCGTTGCATGGTTGATGTGACAGAGTGGGAGTGTGCGAAGCCAGAAACAGCATCAAGGAGAATCCTTGGATCAGGTGCAGGATTGATGGACATGTTCAAGGAAGGAGATGTTCTTCTGAGAGTTGTGAGGATTTGTGTCATCCAGAGCAGCAGTAATTAATGTTTTTTTCCTCCCTAATAAGCATGAATAATGAAGATTCTGCAGCTTATATTGGATTCGTAAGTAAACTGTGAACTGAGAGCAGAACTTCACTCCTGTCACTTCATTAATATTGATCTGATTTCATTACAGTGGGTAACAGATGTGAAGCTGAGCCTGATGAAATATTGAAGAATGGCCACTGTTCTTTACCCTGACACTGGGCTTCTCCTTTGCAGTTTGTTTTCCCAGTGCTCTCAGCACTGTGGGGGTAAAACTCTGTGTCCTTTGGAATTGAAGCACTGGGGCAGGGCTGGGTGTAGGACCAACAAGAGCCTTGTTCCTATTCCTTGGAACACCTAATGTCAAGACTTGTTATTTGTTCTTTGAAACAAGGACCTTTGGACAGGCTTCAATAATAAAAAAAGCACATTTGAGCACCTGCCAGTAGCTTGGCAGGTGGGGAATTTTCTCAGGACACATGACCCAGAATCAGTTTTGTACCAATAGACATGTTCAGGCCTGTGGAAATGAGGGATGTGGATTTCCTGCCTGTGGAAAGGTCCATAACTGACATGACATTTTCAAGGAGCAGGAGTTACCAAGTGAGCTGATGACAAACCAAGCTGGAGAGCAGTGCCAGCACTATCATGCCTGTGGGGACACCCCCTGCAGTGACATGGGACTGGAGAGCAGTTCCAGCAGGTCTGGGGAGGGACCAGGACCCTCAGTGATTAGGGTTACAGACACCAAGCTTCCACGAGTACGTGGCTGAGATGTGCATCTCAGCTAGACAGAGGCAGCAAAAAATGCCAGGAGGTTTCCAAATTTTAAGAGCGCAGAGTCAGCAAGTCACTGTCCCAAGTCTCCCTCCTGCTGAATGAAGGATCACTTGCTTTCTTTCCAAGGAAATAGATGCATGAAACTGCACACATCTTTCCTGGAGAGTAAAGAAAAAGTATAGCATTCAGAGCAGGGCAGGAGCCATGCTCCAGTTTTGCTCTGTACATTGAACCACTGATTCCCATAGTTTAAAGCAAGAGCTTTTGCAAAGGCTGAATAAAAGCATAGCAATTTTCTGAGAAAGTGCAAGAAATGGCATTAATTATGCTAAGTTATTGTCTACCAAAGCTGCTTTCAATCATTTTTATATTCAATAGCATGCATCATCATGAATTGGTGATAAATATAGATGAAAAAAGGTAGTGATAATGAAAGTTATACAGGTGTAAATTAGAGCATATTTTTAAACTACTATGAAGTCACAGCTTCTTGAGATAACACAAAATTATAGGATATGTGCACATCCTAAATTGAACGGTGGAGAATTTTGCACTGTTCATATGCTGGTTGATTATCCCTTGGGCAGTGCTGTCTGGGAGAGTAACAAACCTCTGCTTCCACAGCTTCCTACCCCAAACCTCATCCTGAGCCCCGGGGAGCCAGCGTGGGGACAGCACAAGCCATTGTGTATCGGACACACTCGAGCCATGGTCACTTACTATTTGGGGAGCAGCTATGGAGGCACTGTAACCTCAGGTCCCCAGCCTCAGCCCTCTCCTCCTCAGCCCTGGAAAAGAGAATATAGAAGTAGCACCTTTAACAGAAACAAAGGCTGCTCCCAAATATACAGAAATGGAATGGTGAAAAGCAGGCAGAGCACAACACACCTGGGGCTCCTCCATCTATAGCCAGGCTTGTTATGGAGATCCTTCCACTGGCTTTGCCCCTTCTGGGGACAGCTCATGTAAAGAGGCCGTGGGGAATAGAAATGAGGGGCTCAGGGCTATGTGTCTCCCACTCTTTCGCTCCTCAGGATGGGTCTAAGTGTCAGGGACCGACAGCATTGTAGGGTGTCTGTTGGAAAGGGGGGTGTTGCTACTGCTACACCATTTTACTGCCAGTCCCTGTAATTTTCCAGAAGGAACAGCTCTGTGGATAAACCTTGCTGTGTTGCAGAAAAAAGTACAGAATAAATCCAAGGCAGAAGGTTACACTCATCCCCGTGTGCTAATAAAAGGGGAATGGTAAGACTGGAAACTCTGGTGTCTGTGGGAAAAGGTACTGACTCTGTGAATGGCAGGGACACTGGGTCAGTACTGAAAACCCCTTCAGATATCTGGGTGACCAAGGAGGAAATCAGAGCAAAAGGTTGGCATGTCTTTGGAAAGTGTTGGTATGATCTGCACATCTCACATGAGGACAATGGAGTTAGAGGAAGCAAGCTGTGAGTATGATACATTACAGAAATGTACAAAAAGGGACAAAATAGAGTGTGTGAAGGATGGTTTGAAAAGTTCTGGTTCTCATAGTGTTGAGAATAGTCCTGATTTATTATGTCTGCAATAGCTTTGGTCCTGCCACCTGACTCAAACCGCTCCCAGCACTTCAAAACTACATTTTCTGTCCCTGCAGGGACATTTTGTCTGCACTGGTATCAACGGCAGTTTGAACTCAGCTCGCTCCAGAATTTCACCAGCAGCATCTGCCTGATGTTGGGTTGGTTTTGCAGATCAGAGTAAGGGCTCAGTCAGCAAGAAAAATGTTGTGAAATCAGCTGTAATGCCACAATGGGTGTTGATGGACAGCTGCAAGCTGGCAAATGCTGTGCTACGGATGGCTGAGCTGGGGAAGGCTGAATCCTCCAGATTTACTTGCTAAATTTGTGTGTTGGTTTAACAGCACCTAGTCAGTGAGATTTGCTTCACAGGGAGCAAAAAGGCTGGATACCAGACTGGAGACAGGGTTGTGCTGATCTCCAGGGTCCCCTCTCCCACCAGTGCCAGGGTGGGATATCCTCCTTTATCCCTCTCTGCAGTGGCTTCAGTTCCGGTGGGACTCAGCACCCCTGGCCTCCTGGACATGGATGCACATCCAAAAGTTGCTCCTCTCTCCTCTTGTCATCACTAAAAGAGGGCCATGGGTAATCCAACTTGACTCCTATCACTTTGCTAACCTTGTATTCCTTTCTCCAGGCAGTGACTCTCTCCATGAGGAGCTCAGTTGGATTTGATTTCCACCCTTTCAGACCCTTTATCCCTCTCCCTAGGCCTCACGTACCTTCACCCCAAGCCTGGATATTTCCTTGCCCCAGATCTTCCTCCCTGTAGCTACAACTGTCCTTGTTCCAGCAGCTGTAACTCCTGCCTGGGGTCTTCCTCTGCCTCACCTGCACTTTCTGCCCCCAGCACACCAAAGAAGCAGAGAGGGAAGTTTGCATTCTTTACCTGAAATCGAAGTCCACCAGAATTCTGGGAGCAGGGAAAGCCAGAGGTTAGTGGCTGAAAGGGGTTTTTTAATATATGAAGAAAGGAAGGTAAGAAACTGAGGACAAATTTAGGAAAAGACATTCAATGTGAATAACCTGGCTGTGCTGGCCCTTGCCTGAATGGATGTGATTATAGTGTTGGTGTAGCCAGGTGGTCTAAATGAACAAAATTTTTCTGAATGTGTCTTAATTATTACACAGCCATATGGACAAAGCTGCTAGAACAGCTGGGCAGGGGAGGAAGAGAAGGTCTGGCACGTTGACATTCCTTCAGCTGATTGTCACAGATTATCAGTCTGTGCAGGAGAAAATGAAATTTCCTTGTCCCTTTGGCTTATCTGGTGGGATCCTTAGAGCAAAGAAAGCAGAAAGGTGTGTGAGGGTTCCTCCTCTGCCAGCTGGGGTGAACCATAGACAAGGGACTATGATCAAGACCATATGGGAAAAGAGTATTCATGTGAAACAGGGCAGAAAGAGAAACTGAGAGGGAAGGAAGAGAGAAACTTATTAAGAACTGACACCCAATAAACTAAAAAAGCTGAAAAAGATGAGCAAAAGTTTTAGACAAATATTCAGTTCAAAGGAAAGATGACAAAAAAGGACAAGCAATAAAAGGACAAAGACTGAAAGCTGACATGTTGTAGGTAATTCTGATCATTTTATAGAACACTTAATGCATGAATAATCCCTCCAAGTCTGTATAATTGAGCTGTTTAATTTCTTAGAGTTACCCTGAAGGCTATTGTACCTGTTCTATCTGAAGAGCTCTAATATCTTTTGATTTTATGGTGTGAACTACAGAGCCTCTTTTGTCTTGACTTTTTGAAGTATCCCAGGCCTGGGAAGGAAATGATTGTTGCATGTAACACCATGAATCTTTGATTTTTCTGCAGCTGTTTAAACGTTTTCCCAGTGACAGGAACAAGGGGATGCTTGGCTGTGGAGAGACACAGCCTGTGTCCTTGGGGTGCAGGCAGGCAAAGAATTTGGCTGTCTCTGTTTGTGACCCGTAAGCTGCATGCAATTAAAATTAAGTGCAATACAATGAGATTACGTTTGAGAAAGCATTTGCAAGATTAACACTATTTTACTGTCAGTACTTTTCATAAAGCAAATTTCTTCTCTGGGAGCGGGGGCCTGGAGAAGAACATTCCAACCAAAAACTCTGAACAGGCAAAATGGAGCTAACACTTTTCTTCCCTGTCTCCCAGATGATAAATGTAGCTGTTGGGAATGATGATAACTACAATGATAATAATGCTTTAACTTTCCTGTGGCACAGAGTCTGTCCAAAAAGAGAGGTTAGATGTGTGTGTACACGGGGTGCTGGATGGGCACTGAGGCAAAGGAACTTGCAAAAAGGGTAATGATATGCACAAAGTAACTGGAAGGAAGAAAGGCTGGAGGGTTTTATTCATGAGGTATGAAAAGGAACACGGAGGTGGAGGAGTAGGAGGGAATGTGAAGTATCCCTGGGTATATGCACAGGAAGGAAGGAGAACTTATTTTATTTTCTATTTGTGCAAAGGCAGATGGGAGCTCAGGGAAGTTGTGTGGGACTGTGGGCACCCACAGAATGCAGCAACAGGGTGTTGCTAATGGACAGTCCCTGGACCCCCTGTAGTCTCTGAGTATTCCCAGGTCACAGCAGCGAAGCTGATCATGAATAGGATAACTTTAAAAAAAAAAAAAAAAAGAAGGTATATTGCTGCACAGCTTTAAACCTCCAGAATGATCCCATGGTAACACTGACTCTGGGCTTCCTATTATGTATTCAGATACAACAATTAAAATAATGTGATACAAAAAAAGAAAGTCATAATCATGAAGTTTGGGAACACCACATGCTTGAGCTGTGTGTGCCAAGTGTGTGTGGAAGGGCTGGGGGGATGTGACCAAGGAGTGAATTGCTGGGGCGAAATTGTGTCATATGGTGAGGGCAAGAGGAATCAAAATCAAGCCCAGAACACCCATGTGAGAGAAAAAGTTATTGTCCTCTAGGCCACTAATGGTTTTTTTGCTATTTACTGTTCCAGAAGGCTCAGTAGTGGTATTTTATCAAGCTTCCTTAGCATTTCTCAATGTAAGTCAACATAGTGTTCCTTATAATTCTTCCAGGCTCTAATCTGCAATTCTCACTTTAATAATTTGTCTGTTTTCCCTCTCTGGGTGCTGATTTCTCCTGAGGCATATAGTGACCCCTTCTTCTTCACTGTATTTGGGCTTTTTCTTTTCTCACACAGAGAATTTTTTCAGATTTGCTGTCATCTTCAAATGCAAAATTAGGCAAACGGTGCTTGTTTGTATCATTTCTCTCTTCCTTCCAGGCTGTTTGAAAGGTAGAGGGAAATCCTGGAAGTTAGCAGAGGAATAACTGTAACCACGGACTAACAAACAACAGGATAGCCAAGGCAAAATAATAAGCATGGAAGGCCTCTGGTTCTCTCTCAGAAGAGATCCTCACTTTGCTGCTCAAACGCTGATTGTTGCAAACCTTCTGTCCCCTCCCACCACTGAGAAACTGCCACACTGGTCAGACAAACAGGAATAGGTCCTTGTGTCTTCTGTCCCCAAAATATCTTTACGTTACTTCAAGCAATGAACTTCTGGGGAGGGTTTGCTCTACTGATCAGCCTTTCGTTCTGTGAAGGTACAAACCCCTGTGGAGCCCATCACACCTTCCCTGCTGTGTGAGGTCCATGTCTGTGTGTTCTTCACATCCCACAGTTTTAAAACAAGGCCTTAAGTTTCTCACCAAAGAGTGAGGGTGAGAAATGTCCCAGAGCAGCCACATGGGCCAGCTATGAGCGCGTGGGGCAGTGTGTGGTGATGGGCAGAGTGACAGAGCATCTCTGGGGCCCAGACAGGGCTCAGGGTCCCTCTAAACCCCTGGTGGCAGTGTGGGTGGCACTGTGTGGGTGTTTCTGCAGTGCCTTGTAATGTACACCCTGTATTTGTGTGGAGCAGCTGCAGAGCATGGGTCGTGTGGAGGAGTCAGAGATGGGTTGTAGACAAGTGACTATGGAAAATGGCAGCTCCAATGGCCTCGTGGTGGCTGAAAAGCGCCTCAGCAGTTGTTGGGATTCTTGGGAGGTGCCTATTTCATGTGCTGAGAAATGATGGTTGTCACATTCCTTGCATCCCCCACAATTTTACCTTTCCAGAGAGGGAAAATCAGCTTACACTGGCAGTACAACTTCCTGTGAATCCCTATGGATTGGATGCATATGGCAAGGACTTGTCAGTCTTGTGTTTAATGAGCATGTAAGAAAGGGCAGGCACTGGGACATCACAAAAACAGATCAAGGAGAACCTTTTGGGTTTAACACACACCTTCTCCAGGTATCTCAGTGACTCCACCCACATGTGCTGCAGTGGGTGACAGCCTGGATTTTCTGGGACTAGCAGAGCCCATGAAAACCTCCCCTGAGGGAGTGACTGACTGCACTGACCTTTCTCTGAAGTACTTGATGGCTTCCTGGTCTAGGAAGTTCTGCTCTTCTCGAAAGCCCTGCTCGAAGATTTTGCGCTTGTGCCTGAACTCGATGACAGTCTTAGTGTAGGAGTTCAGGGTGGTGACAGAGGCTGCCATGCAGCAGGTGAAAGAGCCCCAGGCCAGACTGTGGAGAGAGAAGCCAGCAGACAGAGCTGGGTTAGCACAGCAGCTCATGTTATATTCCTGATGCCAAGGGACACACACATGCACAGCATGAGACCAGGCAGGGAAGTCAGAGGTGACAAACCCATTCTTCTCACCTCACCTCAAATGACCTGTGGCTCGTGCTCAAGGTGTAGGCAGGAGGTTGGGAGAGGGGCAGGGCACAACCTCCATCCCATGGAGAACCATGGCACAGTGTTAATGTGAGCACTGGGTGCTCTCCGACAGAAGAGCCAAACACCTCCTGATTTCCCTCTGAAAGGTCTTGGAGCCTTGCAGACAAGTGCTAACATCCACATACTCCTGGAGGCAGTAATGCCCCAGGGACCACATCTTTCAGGCCAGTGGAAGTTCTCCAGCATCCATGGGACACTGACTGCATAGGGCTACTGCAGGGATGGTTTGTAATCTGGCTTTTGTGCCTTCACCAGACTACTGTAATTCCCTCTTTCCTGGACATTTCTAGCATTTCTGGTTTATATCTGGTCTCTGAAAGGCTGTCCAGAATAGAAGACAGCACTTGCATTTTGTGGAGATCCCCAACCTGGGGGTTTCCTGATCGACCCTCCCAGTTTGTAGGCCTTGGTCAGCCAGGGGCAGAACACCTGCAAGCACCAACCAAGTGCACGAGGAGACAGAGAGAGAAGGAAAATGGAAGAAAAAAATGACTGGGCCAAGTTAAGCAAGTGTTATCCTGAGGCTCCTGGCAAGGAGAGTTATCTGGGAGCTGCTTTGTTCCCTGCCTGAGGACAGGGAACCCCCCAAGGTTCTTCTGCCCTCCCTGCTCTTCACTGACCTCAAGGTCAGGTGAGGCTGGGGGAACCCATGGCCTCAAGGAGTTAAGATACTTTTGGAGCGTGAAACGGGGCTATAAAAAAAAAGACACTGAATTCCTCCTTTTGTCTGCAGAGCTTCTCTGGAAGCTCTAGCTCCCCTTGACTTTCACATTCAGCCCATCAGCTCCGGTTACACAGAGTTCTCAGTGGCTTCCCAACTAACTCGGATTAACATCATCCTCTGTGACAGTGACACACTTTACCTGCTGCTTTTTTCACCTTTTCTATAATAAATGGACCTGAATTATGCAGAGCAGAAAGAATACAGCCCCAGCAGCATTATCTTATAACTACGCATTGTCAACACAGCTCTCAGCATGAGCTATTTTCCCATTCTGCAAAGGACCTGCAGACAGGAAAGCAGCTTCTCATTTCAAATTAGACAAAACTTGAAAAACAACACATATTCATGAACTGAAAAAAAAAAAAAATCTAGGGGAAAAAATGGCTCAAGTAAACAGAAATGGTTCATTTCAATGATTTCAAAATTCAGCTCCTAACAAGTCCTTCAGGGACTCCCGAGGCGATGAGACGTGTGGAGGCAGCTCCTTCCTCGTCATTTTTGGACCCATTTGCCAGATGCAACCAAATGAGAAGGAAATGTAGTGACCCCTGGGGTGACAAAGTTCCCTCATTTTTCCCGTGGTTGGGTGAAGAAGTGGAAAGGTGCTAGGTGTGATTGCTCAGGCACACTGTCTTCCCGTCCTGGCATGTGTCCTCCTCCTACGTGGAGTGTGTGGAAAAGCTCCAACAGCTGCAGACATTTCCAGCTGGGCTCCTAAACAGTATCCAGGAAGAAGCCAGCAAAAACCACACACTTCTGCCTGGGGAACGACACTGGGAGGAAAATTTTTCTTTTTGAAGTTTCTGATGATTTCTAATCATGCACTCAGAAATGCTGAAAGGTTCAGAGAAGGAAATACAGAGTGAAGGCTCTTAATGCCTGGCGTTTGGTAAATCATAATAATTAGGCAATTATGATGGATCTGTTTTAGTTTTTATGGACTTTGGTTAAATGTTATTTATTTTGAATGTTATTTATTTACCTTTAAGAGCTATACCCTGCCTTAGGTGAAGACCTCTTTAACAGCAGTGCCCCTGTGTGCCAGCTGTGTCCCAGATGTGGTGAGGTACCTCTGGTAGCTGAGCTCAGGGCTGGGCTCTCAAGTTCCTCTGTGGCTCAAACAGTTCAAGTTTTTTACATTTGTTTTCTTTAGAGGGGCTGAACTTGAACATGCACTGATCCTCAGAGCCACTGAACCCCCTGCCTGAAGAATCCCCTGGCCCACTCCCACTCCTGACTTGTGCCAGAGCACAGACCAACCTCCAGGCTTTGCCAATGGCTTGGGAATGGGGCAGGATAACAGGAACTGAGCAGTGCATTTTCAGTTTTGGGACATCTGCCTAGACCACGAGCAGCTCTTCCTCATTTTAAGGAGAGGCATTTTTATCATTCCCTTTCAACAGAGGGGAAACAAAGTCACAGCAAAGTGACTGGCACTTGGGAAAGCGATGGCAGTCTGGATCCTCAAGATCCTTTGGCTCTTGGCCATGGGGACTGGCCATGGCCCCATTTGTCAGTGCTGTCCCAATCCTCTGGGTTCTGACAGGTTCTGTAACCAGGTGCTGCAGAGCGACATTTTACAGCAGGCTGGAAATAGTGCTGGTGGTTGCATTACTGGTTCAGGGGTACTTAAAACTCCTATTTCAGGACATCACCAGAAGCCAGATGGAGCAGAAATTAATTCCTACATGTTTCCAAACTCCACCAGGCTGGGTGGGCATTTCTTATTAACTCTTCTTAAAGGAAGTGTTCAAGTCTGGGTGATGCCAGGGGAGGCTGTAGCTCTCTGGTCTGTACAGCAGTGGTGGCTCAACGTTAGCTGGAAGGGAGGAGCCTCCTTTTTACTGCATCTGACTTCCAGACCTTCCTTTTCCAGGTCTGCTATCCAACACTGGCATGCTGTTAGAGACCCCATGATCTCCCTCAGGCTGCTGAGCACCTCTGCAGGCTGAAAATGCCCCCAGGGCAGCTGTGGCTGAGCTGTGTTTGCCCTACACCCTGCATGGATAAATGCCTTGCCTTGGAAGGTATCAGGGGAGGGGAGGAGACCTCCAAATCCGAGAAGGTGCTTTGTGAGTGCAACAGCAGGAGTGGAGCTCAGCTGTGACCCCACAGTCACTGTGTGGAGGGAAGCTGAGGTCCCACCTGAGGAATATGGGGAGAGAGGAGGTTGCTCTCACATATTTGCCTGCCTGTGGATATCTCCAGTGTCCTGCACAGTGAGACCTAACCCAGGGGCAGTCCTGGTCCTTAAATCTGTGCCCTGGCTGTGGCTGCCTGGGGAGAGTGAGGGAGAGGCTGCAGCAGCTGCTCTGGGACAGGGCTGGGGTCTGGGCAGCAGCCAGATCTTCCAGCTCCGTTCCTGTGGGACACTGGGCTCCCAGCAGCCGGCTCAGAGCGTGGGTGGGATGAGTGGGTCCAGGGAGAGCTCAGAATGCCCCGTGGGACCCACCAGCTCTGAGACATGGGGGTTCTTGGCTTGTACAAGATGAAGGAGAATAATCTAATGAGTGTTTATCACTCCAGACATTTAACAATATTCTGAATTTTGAGTATTGCAGTAAATTGTAAAATAGATTACTGAAGACAAATATGCCTTATTATTTAAATATATTGAAAATTATACAATTATTATGACAGAGTTTTTATAAATATTAATATAAATATTATAAATATATGAATGCGGTGTATTTATAAGGAGTTCATCATCACATGCAATAAATATTCATTATTGAGACACAAAATAAACTGTATTCTAAATATAATGTGATTTATATTTTGTAAGATGTTGCTAAAATGTTGGTAACTCCTCCCATGAAACACAGTATAAAGAGGGGAGAAGGAAAGACTAATAATCCCCTGCAGTGCTGTGCAAAAGTATTTGTATTTATTTATTGGTGTTAGCAAAGGTTGTTGTCTCTGCTTTGAGACGGAAAGAAAATAATGTGCTATATTTAGAAATGAAAAAAAGAAAGTACTTTCCCCATCCATCCAAAGAGGCTGATGCCTCTAGAGGAATGGTGATGTTGTTTGCAGGTATTTTTATTCTCCACAGCCTCCTCTTCTTGTTAAGCTTCTTATAAACTTGCAAGCGATATAACACAGTTGATGCATCTTGGCCAAATTATTTTTATGTGATTTTTAAAAGATAGATGGGAAAGGTAGAAAGAAAGCCATGTCCGTTTTCCCAAGCCATCTCCTCATGATCTGCAGGGAAGCATCGCCGTGCCAGCAGCACTGCACCTTCCTCTGCAGTTGAGTTAAAAGCTGCACCGCAAGGTTCAACTGAGACATTAATTAAAAACCAAAAAAAAAAAAAAAGAGCTAAAAGTCTCTGAAATGCCATGGCAATTATGTACCTAAATTGAACTTTAATGAGAGTGCTCAATCTGTGTTGGTAATTGTGGGTGCTGTTTATTTACAAATGCTCTGTACCTGCTGATAGGCACAGCTGCTGCTGCACAGCCACCGATAACCGTCCTCCACACCTCGAGAACTGCACGGCCCCAGGGGTTTGTGCTCCTGGCACTCCGGGAGCTGGGAATTCACGTGCAAGTTCCTGGCAGCTGGAGGTGACACGTACAACCTCCCAACAGACTGATGGAACAACTCAGAAAAGCAGGTGACACTTACCAGAAGGACCATCCATAGTCCCATGAATGTGGTCGCCAGTCCTCTGGCCCAAGGCTGACTGTCACTTGGAAAACTTGAGTGTACATCATGTGTGCCACCATCCCCAACAGACCTGGGAAGCAGGGATCACAACAGGCATTTTTGTGCTAATGTTTGTTACAATTCTTGACATAGTTACTGCTGGAAGTGCTTTGAGAGCTCCGAAAAAGTCTTTGTTGTACTTCTATGCCTCCTGTTCTACTGTGGAGGAGGGAGCTGCATGGGCAGAGGAAAGATGTGACTGAGAGCTCATTATTTTACATCATACTGAATTCTCAATTAAAAGAGGAGTTAGAGAAAGAAAATCGTTGAAGAAAGTGTTGCACAATTAGCAGCACCACCAACCCTGCTGCTGCACAACAGGGGTGTGCCACCCACCAGTTATCTCACTTAGCCCATCACAGACAGGCCTCAGGTGAGGGAATGAGGAGAGAGGCTTCTATAGGCAATGCAGACCGAATGTGTTAATGCCAAACAACCATATTTTGTCTCATCAGTTGCTAAGATTCATAAATCTGAACACTTATAAAACACTTGGAAGTTACACAAGGAAGTTAAGCAAGCTCAGCACTCCTGATGATGTGTGGAAAGAGGACACCACGGGGATACCTTTGATGGTACAGTGTTGGTGATGCTTTTGTGACACTGTTATAGTTTGCTGAGAGAACTGCAACTGGGTGAAGATTAGACAATGTGTTAGACACTGCAGTGTCTGTGATGTTAAAGAACAGGCCTGCAGTTAAATCACAGGGTGGCCTGAGTTAGCTCTGCCACTGAGCTGGTTCTGCAGCTTAAGCAGAAAAAACTGCCTGAGCTTTATGTTTAGACACCTCTCTGAGGAAAATCAAACCCTACTTTTCAAGCAGTGCTGGCCAGCAGCAGCTCTGATGCTTGGAGGGTTTTCTAGCTACAACAATTTGGGATGTTCCTGCCTTAGTACCTGGGCAGTGCAGAGCGATGCTCCCCACTGAGCTCAGCAAAGTGTGGCTTCAGGGAGTTAGATAAAGAAAGGGGGCAGGGTCATCACATCCCAAATAGTCCTTGGACCTACAGATGTCAAAAAGCTTCTTGTGATGTAGTGACAATTCAAGGCACTTAGAAATACCAATGTTCTGCCACAGTGGGTACGGTGAGGTCCCCCTGTTGCACTTTGCACCTTAACCAAAGTCAGCATTCATATTTATCTCTGACAACCTATTTTTTTCCATGGTTGCCCTTCCTCCACGTGGAAGATCCTGATTTCCCACCCCCCCATACCCAAATTTTGGCTTTTCTTTCCTGCTCACTTTTAGAGTCTAAAGCACTTCATTAGTCTTTCCAGATGTGTGGATGATTCAGGGCAGTTCTGGGGGAGGGAAGTGTGGGGATGTCATGTTTGTGTTGTGGGCAAGTTAAGCAGGTCCTTGAGCAATACAAATGCCATATTTGATACAAACAACTGCAGAGGCTGAAAGAAGACGTTCTGTTACAAGGAGCCGTGGTGATTTGCTCAGCTGCCTCGTGTTGGAGTGACATTGCAAAGATTGGAGGTGGAAAGAGCAATTCACTTCAGGAGAAATGATATTTGGGCAGGGTGGGTGGCCCAATGGGAGCACAGCAAAGTGGTGCACACCTTGCTCGTGTCTGACTATATTTAATTTCCAAAATGCACTGGGACCTTGTTATACTTTTTAAATCAATGGATTTTTCTTCAGCTGGCAGTTATGCCTCGATCTTAAGTTTGGGCTTTGCTGTTTCTGTACAGTGATTTTTCAACCTTAATAAAATATTACAGCCTGCCCTGAGACATGTCATAGTCGTTCAGAGCCAGGGGGAGGTTTGACATGGCAAGGCCAAGCCTCAGCAGGGCTGAGCTGCTCCCTTCTGTCATGCAAAGCCTTAATGGGGTTTCAGCAATGCTCTCACCTGTCCCTGTGTGGGAGGCAGGGTTGACAGTCCACTCATAGAGATGAGTGGGAGGTCATCAGCAAGGCCTGCTGGAACACAGGAACCACAGTGGAATTGTGGTGTTCCTTGCTTTGTCTGGGAAAGGTCAGGGCTTGATCTGCACCTGGTGGCGTTGTTGGTGCCATTTTTCTGTGTACAAACTACAGCAAAACAAGACAGGTCTTTTGTTATGCTGCTTCATGTGCATTTGGGTTTGTTTGGTCTATTTTAGATGTGCCTTGCCAAGTTCTCCGAGGGAATATCCCGTGGTCCTTTTTCTCCACGGGGACACCCCGTGGTCCTTTTTGTTGTACATTTAATGGGTCACATTTTGGCTACAATGAGCTGCCTGTGACATCAATCAACAAATGCTGTATTTACAGGATCATCCTTTCCTCCAGCTGGCTGCTTAAGGCTGGGCAAAGATGCCTGTAATGCCCACCCCCTTGGGGTCCAGGGCATTACAGATTGCAGATGGAAAATCCTGGGAATGTGTCAGACTGGGGTGGATGGGAGTGCAGAAACAGTGATCATTTACAGCTGGCTTGGGATCACGAACCTTGCAGGACCAGAGCTGTTTCTAGATGTCAGTAATGGGAGAAACTAAGGAACTTTGGAAAGTTGGACATTAAGGAAATTGGGAAAAGAGAATATATTTTAAAGCATTTTCAGATACTTTTACTAGAAATACCATTTATAGAATATGCCATATTAATTAAAATGCTTTATCATATTACATGAGAGACAGGTAAATTTTATGATACCAAAATTGGAATGTTGTGGGGTCTTTTTTAATGGCTCCTAAGAATTTAAGGAACAGCAAGAAATGACCACACTACTTAGGAAGTTTTTTTAACTTTTAGATATTGAGCTGTGAAAATATGAAGGTCTTATTGCACTTTTACAAGGGAACTCTAGCATGAATTTAATGAGAGGTGTTATGCTCCAGTGCAAAGTCCTCTTCATTACCTAATTTTGTTAAGCTGTGTCATTATAAATATGCTAGGCTTAAATAAATACAGTTTTCTTCTTTCCTCAGGTATCCCTGTCACGGAAAAAGAACAGCTAGCAGTGTGTTGGGGTTTGGGGTTTTTTTGCTTCTTTTCTATTCTTCTGTCATTTTTCCCTGTAAAATTTTGAAGTTTATATTTGGGCCATCTTGACAATGTGCTTAAAAAGAGGGAAGGCCAAAATAAAAATAGAAAGATGTGTAGGAAAGAAAACTTCATCATTCTTACAAAACTTTAAAACTGCAGTTAATGATGAAGAAAGAGAGAAACAGCATGGAAGTAATTGCTTGAATGCTGAAGAATTCCACAGAGTTTGACTCTGAAAATGAAAATTGAACTGACTTTTTTTTTTTTTTTTTTTTTTTTTAAATCCAAATTACATACAAAGCAGAAAAATATGCTTTGGCAGTTCTTACCAGATTTCTTTTGTCAGCTCAACTCTACTTCTGATCTTTTTTTTTGTGTTATTATTTCACATTATTTCACATTATTATTTTACAGCTACCCCTGAAGATACAAGCTCCTTCCCAAAATGTCCACTGCCTGTTGTAATGTTTTTCAGCTTGAAATGCAGCAGAACAAAATGCACTTTTATTGCAGAAGTTCTTTCTGCTAGAGAGGCCCAAGCAGGAGCACTCTACACGAGCCAGCTGTGGCTGCTTCTATAAATCCTGGAGGGTTTTTAACCAGCAAATCTTCACAGAAGTGAAGGGGCACTTAACTACATGGCTAGATTTCATAACTTCTTTCAGAGAAGTGAATTCCTCAAGTTCATGTGCTGAAGGGCTCCAAGTACAGGCTGAGCATGAAAATAGCCTGAAACAGTTGTTCTGAGAGATGTACATGTCCCCAGATTACTCTTGGGGTTGCTCCTCAGTGTGATTATTAGAACCCTTCTCATTCTCAATTTTGCTAATGAACAAGATGGGCTTCTTTCTTTGGTTTGAAGAATCCAGCTTTCACCTACTCCCAGGATGAGCACAGAGAAAAAAGAATTTTCAACGCTACGTGTTTTTAATTTCCGATTGGAAAATGAGTGTGATGATGCTGCAAATGGAGCTCAGGCTGTAGCTGTTGGTAATGGCTGTGCAGGCTGGGGATGGATAATTACTGCATTGCCGTTGTGAAATCAGGAATAAGGATTTTCGCTTCTCCCCGGCAAGAAGCAAATTTATCACGCTGTCCCTTTTGCCAAAGGAGCAAAAAATTACAGTGAAAAATGGGATACTAAGCGGGGATAAGAAAGTCTTGGAGCCTCGGGTTTTTGTACCTGCAAAGCTATAGGATTTTGCTTTGTGGTGGCTCCTCAGGTAAAAGGGGAAGGGAAGGTTCATACCTGAAAGCACAGTGAAGACAGCAGCAAAGGCATTTAACTTGAGCCCATCTATCACACTGCTTGAATGAAAGAGCTCGAGGCACATAAGGCTGAACCCGACGACTAACAGCATGATGTACAACACCTCAGATACTACTGATAACCACAGGACACCTGCAATGCACAAGAAACAGCAACCAGTTAGCTGGGACATTCTTTCAACAGGGTAAAGTTTGTGAATGTTAATTAGGAAATCAGGAATATCTGGGAGTAACTGTGTATTAGGAAGTGGGGTTTTTTTTGAAAGTTGGTTACAGTTGGTTGGTTTTTAAGGTCACCAATTGTAATTTTTTTAATTTTTTTTTACTGCTTATCACACTAAATGTATATTAGGAAAAGTTTCTTGACTGAAAGAGTGATTAAACACTCAAACAGCCTGCCCAGGGAAGTGGTGGAGTCACCATTCCTGGAAGTGTTCAAAAGACAAGTAGATGTGGCAACTTGCAATATGGTTTAGTGGGCATGGGTGTATTTGGTCAAAGGTTGGACTTAATGGTTCTGTGATTCACAGAGTTTAAACTCAGCAAACAACCACCCAAACTGTGACAAACAGAAAAAGGGGTGGATAAAGATGTGGAGTGGCAGCAGGGTAAGGACACTGCAGAAAGGAAAAGGTGCTGTTTAAGATCCCAGTTTGACTAAAGGACCTCTTTGAGTGTGTCCAGGAACCTCTTGGCTCCTCTGACCCAAAGCACAGCACACAGAATTCTCTTTCCCTCCCTGTGCCATGGCTTGGATGAGCACACAGGGAGATGATGGCACAGAACACCTGACAGTTTGTGCACCAGTGGGAGCTGGACAGGCTTGGATGCCTCCTTTTCACCAGGCTGTTCTAAGAAAAGCTCTTCAGTCCAGGTTTTAAACTGCCTCTCACAGTGTAGTGTTGGGGACTGTTATCAGAAACTCTTCCACAGAACTGGTGTCCTGCAGGATGACTGTTTTGCCCTGGGGTGTTTGGATCCACCGCACAGGGCTGTGCCGCTGGGACTGACATGGAAACTGCCACAATTACAGCAGGGGGGACACAGTTATTTATAACCTGCTCAGCTGAAAAGCTGCAGATACAAAATTCAGACTGCCTTCTGGGGACAACCCTCAGAGGAAGGGCAGAGCTGAGGTGCCCTGTGTGAGCTCTGTGGCACTCTGGGGCTGTGCACGGGCAGTGGGTCTGGCAGCACGTGGCACTGACCAGCAGAGACTGAGCCACCCACAGCAGGTGCCACGTTTGGAAATTTCAGCCCAAAACCTCCAGCAGGATCTGCTGAGTCTTTTAAAGTCACCAAGCCACGGGGTAAATTGGAGAGGATGGGAACAGATGATAATATTGAGTGCCTGCCCAATTTCCAATTGCTGTTTCAGCACGAGAATCCGCTAGAATTCTCCAGTACATTTGCTAACCTGATTGCTGGAGAATTCACCTGGAAACAATGAGCAGTGATGGAAAATTTCAGCCTAAGCAGTTGAAACATGGAAAGTTAAGCATCTGAAGACAATGGCTTATATTAGAAAATGTTAGCTGTAACCATAGAGACTGCTACAGGCTTCACTTATATTAATACCTTCTCTCCTCACTGTAAGAGCACATGTGTGATAATGCCTACAGTCAAGCTTATCAAACCAGATATGCAGTCTCACTTTTATCAAATATTTGAGTGTTCTCTTGGTGACCAGGCTCATATTTTTTCTTCTGGAAACTTGTCTTCATAATTACATCTAATTAATATGAGCTAGTTGTTGTTGCCACCGTATCTGACCTTTTGAGTTCTTAAACCACACTACAGAGATAACAATAAATAAACCTTTTAATTGCTCACAGAGGCTGTATGTGCAATATTGCATCTATCATCAGCAAACAGCTGCTTATCTCACTCCTATTAGTCAATGTGGTATCAGGCAACTGGCACACTCTTCCAAAAAGAAATACAAGGGAGAGAGAGCAATGGTGTTGTTCTGTGATACAGCAGGATTTAGAAGGGATTTTGACTCATTTTCTCACAACCAGCAGTTTCTATGATGAGAGAATGATGAAACGATTTGAGTTTGAAAGAATTAGATTACGAAAACCTGACCCATAAACCAAGGCAGCTGACAGCCCTAATTAATAAATAGTAATTCATTTAGCCCCAACATACCTGCCCAGATGTTTATTGCCCTGTTTCAACTCTGGAGGACACCCACTGGTGGGATCTGCACACCAGGGCAGTGCTGTAACAGGGTCTGCAGCTCAGAGCTGTGGGGTGGCTTTGTCTCTGTTTCCTTGGGGGAATAACTGGCTGCAGGGTTGGGCTCAAAGAGTTGTAGTCAAGGGGTAACATCAGGCTGGTGGTTGTCACTAATGGTGCTCAGTTTTAGGGCCGGTTCAGGAGCTGAGTGAACTCTTAAGGAAGTTTACTGGTGACACTAAATCAGGAGGAGACACTGAGTCCCCTGAGAGTGGAAAGGCCTTAAAGAGGTCTTAGATGTGAGTGCATCACCAACCATATGAGATCTAGCAAGGACAAATCCTGGATTCTACTCCTGGGACAGTGCAGATTGCACCCCTGCAGAAGGCATCTGAGGGGGTTGGTTGATGGCTTGGGGGTGCAGTTGATGTACACAGATTTTGTCCACGTTTTACCTGTTGCCCACCTACGAGGCAGTGCTTGAAGCTGGATGCTGCAGACACAAGTGTCTGAACAGGAGGCTGGAGAGATGCACATCAGTCTGTGTGGGAGGATCTGGGTTAATGTGTCCCCAAAGCAAGTGAGGGCACATTGCTAATGGCAGCCTTGTGCACATTCAAGGGACAGGAGGGCTCTGGGAGGTGAGTTGGGCTAGGGCCTGGCTGCTGTCCTTTGTCAGCCTGGGGCAGGAGAAAGCAACAGGAGGACTGTGGGGAGTGTGTCACAGGGAGTGCTTTGGCTTCCCTTCCCACAAGGCTGGGATAAGAGTGGTTTTGCCATCAGGGGAACCTTGCAAGGAGATGATGAAAAGCTCAAGGAGACATGAGTTTGCTCTCCTGTAAAACCTTCTTCTGATGAGACACAAAGGCTGTGTGAGTTTGCTGTGGAAGGCATAGTCTATTCTTTTTTCTTTCTTCCTGTTCCTATCTGCAAAGGAACTCTATGTCTAATTCTCATGTCTTATTTCATGGTGTACACTGAATACCTGCTCTGAGCCTTCTTTAAATGCATCTAATGTGGGGGAAAGGCAAGTCCCACATGCAGTGTTTGCATAGTTCTGAGTATGTCCTGTTCTGCCTGCTTTGATTTTGAATTTCATCTGAAATAATAACACCCAGAAAACGCAAGCTGTATCTGAATTTTGCATCTTCCTGTGGCTGCCTGAAGCAGAACAGTTGCTTCAGGTTATTAATTCAGGAGGCACTGTCTTTCTGTTGTGTGCTGATGGTGAAGTGATCTCCCACTGCTACTCTCTCAACATGAGATTCATGAGGCAGTCACTTGGCATAACTTCCACTTACAATACCTTACAGTCTCCTTCCTGCAAAGTTGAGAGCTCCTTCTCTTGAGGAGACCTCAGTCATTCCAGGTGACAGGGAAGAGCTCTCCAGAGGATTTTTCTCTTTTCCAATCTTCTCTGCTGTCACCTTTTCTGCCTGCCTTACTTCCCTCCAGCCTGTGTCCTCTGCCCCAGGGATCTGTCTGGCCTAACTCAGCTTTTATGGAAAATCTTTCCTTCACGAGAGTCAGCAGTTGATTCACTTGGAGAGTTCTACCTGGATGGCCTGTATCTTCCATGTATTCTTACAAATCACCAGATTTCTCTCATTTTTTGGTCTTCATTCTGTTTATGCATTTTCCTTGACTGTTAATCAAACCGACTGCTGCGTGTGCAGAGAAGGGGTTTGGGTACAGAGCTCAGCTGGGATGTGCCTCTTGTCCCAAGGACATTCCTTGTTGATGCAGAGGGATTGCAGGCCCTGCCCTGCCTCCTCCTCACCGTGTGCAGCGTTTGCCAGTGAGTGTCACCCCTGCTCACTCTGTGGGAAACAGTGCTGTGACACCACAGCCACAATGTGAGACCTCCTAGGAAAGGAGAGTCTTTGACTCCCAAACAAAACTAAATCAAAGCTGGTTTCACCTGCACTCCTGCACACACATTCTCACAAGGATGGGTGCATGCAAGGAGCACTCAGAGTTACTCTTGTGTGCTGTGGGACACTTTGGATCTTTGCTCCTGCCCCACATTTTCAGGACAAGCTGCTTGTGAAGCAAAAGAACTCGAAGTACAGGACCTGGGCTGAGCTGCTCACCTGGAACCAGAGATGGCAAAACTGGGACTCACCTAAAGGTTTCATACAAGTCAACTTATATCATAGGTCTCCTAAATCAGAAGGAATCATATCACCCTCATATCATGTGATCTCATGGCAGGTTGTACTCTATATGATCACCAGCTTTGCCTAAAATGAAAACACAGCCCTGCTGAAAGCTTGTTTTTCATCTGTGCTTCTGCCATTATCCAGAGATCCTGATTTCACAAGAAGAGTGGTGAGCCAGCTGGGGCATTAGTGAGCTTCTTTGTGTCTCTGAGCTTTTGTTAGTTACTCATCAACGTGCCAAGAGGCTGTCTTTGTGGAGTTCATGGTGAGAAGCATCAGTGCCACCTCCTCATGGACTTATCCACTGCAGCAGCATTTTTACAGTTTAAGGAAATCAGTTTTTCAGCATCCCAAGTGAAGTGAGCATACTCTCATTGTGACTGAAAGGATAACTGTTATCCACAGATTTTAGGCACTCAAGTCCATCATGAACCATCTGAGAAGATCAGCCCTTTGCCTTCCTGACAGCAGCAACATTCTGAAAGATTTACAGATTCTGAGTGCACCTCTGCAAAAGCTGGTGATCATGTTGAGATAATGTGTTAACAAAAGGATGTGACAGACAGTCCTGAATGTTGTTCACAAAACCTGAAATCATTTCAAGTCAGCCCTGATCACCAGGGAAGGCACTCTAGATGAACATGCTGTCATCTCCCACCAAGGAGCACTCTGAGTCAGGGATCTCCAATGCTGAGTTTCCTTTGAAACAGGAATTTTGAAAACAAAAGCATAGGAATTCTACTTAGAAGAACTCAAGGCACTGTACCACCTTTCACTGAATTCCTGAGGA